CAGCAAACAATCCTAGCCGAAGAAGTTGCGAGCTATGTGCATGTAAGGGGAACTTTATATTAATAATTTGTAACATTATGTCCCAGGAAAGAGTAGGAACTTTATGGAGAGGATACATAGCAAATAACTCAGACATTAGAGCAGGTGATAAATAAAGAAGGAATTTTGTAGATGTGATTTCATTAGTAATAATGTCTTAAAATTCCGCGCTTTCTTGAAATGCTGTAAAATGGTCAAATAACTATTTTTATAATTTTTTTTGTGATAGTGTAGCTCCTAGTTCAAGCGCCTCTCGATATTCTCCATTTAAAAGGAGAAGATCTCTTCCTTAAGTCATTGTTATGAGAGTCCCAGTTTCTTGTTTTGAAACCTTCAGCCCTAACCCTGGTCGATGTATTCATTTCTCAGTATGACACCATCGTGACTCAACCCTAGCTTGCAAATGACGTGACCTTCCCTTGAGAGAATACATGAAATGAAAATAAATCCTTCTTTTTTTTCGAAAATTTGCGAGGTGTGACTTTCACATCAAGTTGTACCGCTGTTTCAGCACCTACGCAAAATGAAAGAAGCTGAAGCGGAAGTGCGTGATGCTGAAAAACATTTAAACGTAATCTTGGAAAAGGAGAAACGAATGGAAAAAGAGTTGCATAAACTACAACATCCCGGCTTCTTCTCAAGAAGCAAACCTGGCGACACGTTAGTGATACGCCATCATTTGAGAGAGGTAAACATTTTTCAGGGGTTACGGTATCTAATTCAGCAATAAACATGCTAAAAATTTATGGGTGCTCATAAGTCCTTTTGGACTATAAAAAATGGTATTGTCTTGCTATCTTGCTAATAACATTGCTATCTAGTTGCTCCATAATTTTAATATCATCAAGAAGATGATTATGTTCTTTTAATCTGCTTTTAAGAACTTTTAGCTCTAAAAAAACTGATTGCACTAGTTTTTCCCAACCTAGTTAGCTGTAATTCTTTTTTAGCTGCTGCAGGTGATCCAGCAGCGAGAAAAAGCCGAACGACAACTTGCTGATACAAGGGCAGAATGTGAAGTTGTAAAAATGTATCGTTTTCGACATGGAATGAAGGTAGGTTAAGTTAAGCTTTTGAAATCAACTGCTTCCTTTCTAAAACATCGGGGTCATCCATGATATTCTTACATTTTCCTGATTCAATAGACAAACCTCTGATTTTCATATATTATAAAATATGATCTTGGTTAAAAAAGGTGATTTTTTTAAATAATAAATATTCTCAATCAGGGTATTGCTGATTCATATGTGGACTACACGGAAAGAGCTTACAACATCTTTGGATGCCATAGGT